TCTATGCAGGCGCCGGGCTCGGGCTCCCGGATCTCCTGTCCGCGCTCCTCCAGCTCCGGAGCGGCTGGGGTCCGGGGCCTGCCGCGGGGATGGCCGGGGGTCTGGCAGGAATGGGGGCATCCAGACCGAGAAGGAGACCATGCAAGAGCTGAACGACCGCCTGGCCTCCTACCTGGACAGAGTGAGGAGTCTGGAGATCGATAATCGGAGGCTGGAAAGCAAAATCCGGGAACACCTGGAGAAGAAGGGGCCCCAGGTCAGAGACTGGGCGCATTACTTCAAAATCATCGAAGACCTGAGGGCTCAGATCTTTGCAAATTCTGTGGACAATGCCCGCATCGTCCTGCAGATTGACAATGCCCGTCTTGCTGCTGATGACTTTAGAGTCAAGTATGAGACAGAGCTGGCCATGCGCCAGTCTGTGGAGAGCGACATCCATGGGCTCCGCAAGGTCATTGATGACACCAATATCACTCGGCTGCAGCTGGAGACAGAGATCGAGGCTCTCAAGGAGGAGCTGGTCTTCATGAAGAAGAACCAGGAGGAGGAAGTAAAAGGCCTACAAGCCCAGATTGCCAGCTCTGGGTTGACAGTAGAGGTAGAGCCCCAAACCCAGGACCTCAGCAAGATCATGGCGGACATCCGGGCCCAGTATGACGAGCTGGCCCGGAAGAACCGGGAAGAGCTGGACAAGTACTGGTCCCAGCAGATTGAGGAGAGAACCACAGTGGTCACCTCGCAGTCCGCCGAGGTCGGAGCTGCTGAGATGACGCTCACGGAGCTGAGACGTACAGTCCAGTCTTTGGAGATTGAGTTGGACTCCATGAGAAATGTGAAGGCCAACTTAGAGAACAGCCTGAGAGAGGTGGAGGCCCGCTACGCCATGCAGATGAAGCAGCTCAACGGGGTCCTGCTGCACCTGGAGTCAGAGCGGGCACAGACCGGGCAGAGGGCCAGCGCCAGGCCAGGAGTACGAGGCCCTGCTGAACATCAAGGTCAAGCTGGAGGCTGAGATTGCCACCTACCGCCGCCTGCTGGAAGATGGGGAAGACTTCAATCTTGGTGATGCCCTGGACAGCAGCAACTCCATGCAAACCATCCAGAAGACCACCACCCGCAGGATAGTGGACGGCAAAGTGGTGCCTGAGACCAACGACACCAAAGTTCTGAGACATTGAGGAAGTAGCAGCAGGGTGCCTTTATACTAATAAAAAATTGACAGGTCATTGAAAAAAAAAAAAAAAAGATGGATAACAGACTTAAACCTAAGGCATGAAACCTTAAGAACTAAAGCCTTTACATGGGTATTTGGAAGGCAGCATGCTGCATTCTAACAATGGGATCTCATCAAATTAAAAAGTTTCTGCACAGCTAAGGAAACCATCATCAGAGCAAATAGACAACCCACAGAGTGGGAGAAAATATTTGCTCTCTACACTTCTGATAAAGGTCTAATAACAAGAATCTATCTAGAACTTAAAAGAAGAAACAAGAAAAAATCAAACAATCGCATCAAGAAATAGGCAATGGAAATGAACAGAAACTTCTCCAAAGAAGACAGAATAAGGGCCTACAAACATATAAAAAAAATGCTCAACATCTCTAATCATCAGAGAAATGCAAATCAAAACCACAATGAGATACCATCTAACAACAGTGAGAATGGCTTGTATCAAGAAACCCCAAAACAACAAAATGCTGGCGAGGATGTGGAGAGACAGGAACACTCCTACACTGCTGGTGGAACTGCAAATTAGTGCAACCTCTGTGGAAAAGAATTTGGAGATACCTCAAACAGCTAGATATAGAAATACCATTTGACCCAGTAATAGCATTGTTAGGCATCTACCCAAAAGAGCATAAGACATTCTACTATAAAGACATCTGCACCCAAATGTTTATGGCAGCACAATTCACTATTGCAAGATCATGGAAACAACCCAAGTGTCCGTCAATTCATGAGTGGATAATTAAAATTTGGTATATGCTCACAATGGAATACTACTCAATTCTAAGAAATGACAGTGAGCTAGCACCGTTTATGCTATCCTGCACTAAGCTTAAGCCTGTTATCCAAAGTGAGGTGACACAAGATCAAGAAAATGGGCTCCACATCTACTCGCTATCAAATTGGTACTGACTGATTAAAATTATGGTGCTCAAATGGTAATAGTGCTCACTAGGGTTTGGGGGAGGGGCAGATACACATCTTAGGGTTGTGGCAAGCATGGGGGCGGGAGGGAATACCTCTAACCCTTCCTAGGGAAAGGCAAAGATATACAATGTAATCCAAAGGTCAGAAAAGGAAAAAAAAAACTTTTATTGGGTTGTGGGCAGATGGGAGAGGGGAGGAGGGGAAGAATTTATACTTACAAAATAGGTGTGATGCGCACCACCTGGGGGTAGGACACACTTGATGTTTTGGTAAGGCGGGGTGTGGAGGGAGGAATGGCAGGGGCAATATATGTAACCCTAACAATATTTGTACCCCCATAATATGATAAAATAAAAGAAAAAAAACTAGCTCTTGAGAATAAAAAAGTGCTTTGTATTACAAATTTTGTACTGAAAAAAAAAATCCACTGACCTAGGAAGTCTTTTCCAACTCCTTAACATGGTTTATAGGCCCTTAAATCTTACTACTTACTTTTCCAGCTTCACCCAGTATCATTCTATCTCTAAGCTTCAGCTATGTCATGTTCTCTCTTACCTTCAAGTTTTTACTCATGCTGTACCGAATTGCTCTTCGACGTCAGTACTATGCACTCCCTCTCATTCCTTGGAAAATGAATTTGAGTCAAGCAGTTTTCTTAAACTTGAAAATAGTCCATTTTGAACTTCCTTCCCCTCCTTCTCATTTCCTCACTTGGGAATTTTACCTTCCATCAGTAACTCTAAAGGTTATTTAACAATATTTTTACAGAAAAAAAAGTACCTGAGAGCATGTCACTCACTTCAGCACTGACAATGGAAGAAGAAATAACACCAATTTCAAAACTTTTAAAATTATTTCCATAAGCTAGACCACCACCATAAACAGTACCCAAAACCATTCCCATAAGCTTGGGTAGGGACTAGTAGATATAGAATGAAGAATCGATACTGCTAAGAGGGTGAAGACTGGGAAAATATTACAGAGTCAAAAAGTGAGCTGTGAAGGAGGAAAGGCAAAGTTTTCTAAATTTGAACTGGCTTTCTGTCACCTCTGTCTTTTCTTATAAAACTCTATCTTCCTTTTTTTTGTTTTTTACTGCCATAAATTATGGCTTCCAAATAGGCTTTCTTTCTTTCAGTGATTGATTATGGAACAAATAGTAATATGAACCCAGTCTCATAGTTTTCTCTTTTATATGAGTATATTGTTTCAAAAAATTAATAGACTTTATTTTTTTAGATCAATTTTAGGTTTATAAAAAATTGAGCAGATAGTACAAAGAGTTCCCATATACATCTTCTGTCATTTCCCCAATTATTAACATCTTGTATTAATGTGGCACATTTGATATAATTAATGAACTGATAGTGATATATTATTATTAGTTAAAGCCTTGAAAGAATAATAGAATACTGACATAGCAACTTGAAGAAGATAACTTCCCCATTACATCTCATTAAATACATAAGAAAAAAGTTTGCAAATATTTACAAACCAGATGTCAAAAGTTAAATCTATACTTATTTTGTATTTTGTCATCATTTTTGGTCTAGGTCTATATGTTAAGAATGGCAAAGAACTTTTCTATAATATTGAGAGATTTGTTATATTAGTTCTAGGAATTGTTTATTTCTATGCTTGTGATACAGAAAACCATAACTGTTACCATATTTATTAGAATATTTGTTATTAGGAAATTGTCCTTCACTTATGGCTTTAAACTTATGTGACACAGGTGGCTGATTTTACCTTTAAACTTGTGAGGAATGCTTAGGGAACATATAATATATCCAACATATGTAATCATTTATTGAATTAAAGAATGGATGAATTAGTAATTCATTATGACCCCACGCATGTGGCTCTAACTCAACCAGTATAACAGAATTGTGCATATTTCCTTATATTAATAAATAAAAATGTAGTAAAAGGTATTTTCTCATGTGAAATATATATTTAAAATAAAATAATCTTAACAGGTTAGCTTTTAAAACAGTGAATTTCTCTGAATTTGCCATATTATTAATAGAGAGCTATTCTATAGTCTATATGAATTTAGCACACTAGTTAACAAAGAAAACACAACTTTAACCTGCCATACAATATCTATCCTTTTAAAATAAAATCCCTATCCTACGTATGAATGAAATTATTTTTATGTTTTATATAAAAAGTATCTGAAAACTATTTATTATCATATATAGGAAAGAGGAAGACATTTGTAATAAGAAAACATTTCAAAATATTCAAAGGAATGACAGGAGGAATCATGCTCATCTCTTCTTTGAAAGGAAAAAAAAGATAATTCAAGTAGGAAGAGAATACAACATACACCTAGCAACAATACTTTTAATGTAGGTCAAATTCTCTAGGTACTAGGATGAAAAGGAAAGACACTGTGTAGCTTGTCTTTGAAACAATATGGGAAGATTATAAAACTTTTCACTTTAGGCCAGACAGCTTCTATAAGTGTTCTGAGTTCTTCAAGGATGATGTAAAAACATTCATAGGCTCTGATCTGGCATGGATATTTGGAGAAATGTTTCAATTTATTGAAAATAAACTTTTGCTTTAAAGTTTTCCTTAGTGCTTTCCAGAAACTTCATTCCCCAGGCATTTAGAGGTTAGCAGTTCCATAGTTTACTACCATAGAAATGGCTGTACTCTTTTGGCCTGAAGGAAAGGTACAATGTGACGAATTTTGGAATAGTATATGATTTATGAAATTCTCAATAGTTCCTATTCTCAGAATACTCATAAGCTTTGCCCCAAATCAATATAAGCTAATGTTTTATAATACCTTCTATCTAAATTTGAAAAAATAGCAATGAGGGAATGCTCTTACCACTTGGCAATACCATTACTGGCTCTGTAAACCTTTGTTCATCTGTTGATGGTAGGTTTAGGGAAATGATTAACACCATTCCCAGACTAGTTCCAACAAACAGACAAGGTGAGATGGTAGAATCATTTTTCCGTGCAAAGGAGTCCATGAAGTATAGTGCCGTAATTGCTTCTTTAGAATCTTTGTCAATACTAGAGATGCTAGAGCTTCTAGAACGATTATAGGAATTTTCTCGATTTTCTATGGAAATTTTTTTAAAAAAGATTGTTAGCATATTTCCACAACAAGCACAAGTCAGACTTAACACACAAAAGCCAAAATTATGAGGAAGAAGTAGAATTTAATTCTTTGTTAATTGACCTGGAACGCAGCTTATTCAGTTTACCAGCTTATTTTAAAAGTGGATAAACTGAAGTCTGAAAGTATAGATCACAAACTTAGGGAGAGCTGGACTAGAACTTGAGTCTCCACAATTTCAGCTCACTATTTTTCTCTCTCTGCACAAACACACAAGTAGTTAAAAATTTCTTTCTAGAAAAAAGATTTAGTCTAAATAGTAAAGTTTATAAGATTTTCTGATACTGTTTACACTGTGCTTCCCTCCTAACTCTCAATTGTTGGAAGTATTTCTAACCATTTCTTGGCAATTCCCATTTACTGACAATATTGTGGCTATTGGCATGAAAGAACTTACTGGGTCACAAATCTTCTGTGGCAAACATATTCTATATCTGGGGTGATTACAATTGTAAAAATTAAAGTTTTTACTAAGGCAAAAATGCAATGGTTATCTCTCCCTGGTTTCAAGCTGCCTACCTTGAATCCAAATCTAGTTCTAATTTTGCCTAGGGTTAAATAAGGAGATCTAGATTGTGCTACGCTGTTGATAGTGGTAATCCTTCTGAGAGGCTTTTAGCTCACTTAAAGGAACTGGGTAGGTTCTGTTTCTCCTCTTATCAATACTTGCACATGTACATACCCCAGTCATAAACTCACACATCTCAGTAAAATATCAGTAAGGTTGTACTTTTCTTATGATCACTCCAGATTATAAATTCTTCATATTTTTTTTTCTACTGCCTTCACTTTCCTTTCCCTCTTAAAAGGTACAGTGTGACTCATAACTACTTTTATGGAAAGAGACTAAATGTAGGTTTTTCAGATTATCTCTTTTCTAGAAAACAAAATATGGCCTTCCTAAAGTTTCTCATTTTTATCTCTCAGCAAATTTATAAAAATAGTCATTTGTCACAAAATTTAGAAATGAGAGGAAGCCTGGAGATAATCTATATATTTTACAGATTTGGAAATAGAGATTCAGAGTTAAGTATTTCTCCCAGAATCCAACACAAATCAAAATTCCCACCTCTTATTACAGTGATTAAGAATGTTGCTACTTTTATGATCCTTACATATTGCTTCTATTATAACATTCCTAGCTAATATTATGTCTCCAAAATTTTTCCATTCATGGTTCATCACCAAAGTTGATACTCATAGATACCTAATAGAGAAATAACATTATCTATATGTCTAGGGGATCAGATTTAGTATATCATAATATTATATAAATAAAAGATGAAATATAAATTTTATTTAAAAAAATTTTAAAGAACAATATAGATCATTATCAAAAAATTTAAGGGGTAGTAAATGGGGAGTTATTTTATAGCATAGAATTACTATAGCATAATTTCCTAAAATTACTTTTTCCTGTCTCTCTCCCTAAAGCTCTTTATCAACAAAACAGTAGCAGCAGAGTTATAAGACTTCCTTTTCTTTCCCTGTCTAAGAATTCTGGCCTCTGGCTCTTATACTTCACTTTCTGTTTCCATACTCATTTCATAAATAAGAAAATAGTCATTCCTTTTTAAAATATATTAAGATGAAGCCTATAAATGTTAGAATTTAATATCTTGCCTTTGCCTTTTTTCTTGATCACATTCGACAGTTGAGAAAATTAAGGTTCCAAGATATTAAATAACTCTCTACAGCTACAGATCCCAAAAGGCTTATCATTGAGATTGAAATAAACTCTCAATTATTTTTGGAAGGGTAGAGAACTAAGGCCTAGATCTCCCTTTGTACAAAGGAGGAGAACCTACTGGTAATCAGACTATTTTAGTTTTAGAGATGATGAAGGAGGTGTAGTGAGGAACTGAGTTGGAGTTATGGCTATAGCCCCATCAGGCTCTCAGTTACTCATTACCTACTAGTTTTAAAAATATTTTTCACATGTGATCTCTGTCCCTTGTCTCCCAGCTCCCACTACCATAGTAAACCAAATTTTAACTTTACCTATGAAAATTAATGTTTAACCTACCTTCTGTTGTAACCGGTAAAGAAATCTCCATGCAAGCAGCTGACTGTGCCTTTCGAAATGGTGGTCTTCCAGGACCCCAGCGATTTACTTTTGAAACGTCAGCACTGGAAAGACGTTTTCCAGAACTGCAACTCTGAGAAGTTGGACTTGTGCAATGTCCATTTACATGATCTGTATTGAGAGGAGGAAGGTAGCATAAATATCAAATTAAATCTTAATATAAAGGAATCCAAAGATATAGATTAAAAAATGAAGATGAGTAAGAATTCCTTTTTTTCCCCAAGTCATATGAATGTGGCTAAGTCCTTGCTATTTTAAGATTTAATCATAATGTCAGTTGTTAGCCAAAAAGTTCAAAAGATATTAGAGCAGGGTCTCACTCTGTCACCCAAGCTGGAGTGCAGTGGCACAGTCATAGCTCATTGTAACCTTACACTTCTGGGTTCAAGTGACCCACAATCTCATCCTCCCAGGTAGCTAGGACTACAGGTGTGCATCACCACACCCAGCTATCTTATTTTTTCTTAAGATGGGATTCTTGCTATGTTGCTCAAGCTGGTCTCAAATTTCTAGGCTCAAGTGATCCTCCTGCTTTGGCCTCCCAAAGTACTGGGATTACAGGAGTGAGCCACTGTGTTTGGCCAAAAGATATTTATTAAGTATAAGATTCATTTTATGTTAACATAGTTAAAAATTTATTTTATATCCCACTATATATTTTATCATTTAATGGCAATACAAAATGGATTATACTACTATTGAACTTTTTGTTGTATAATTTAAAAATACATCAATTTATATTAATATAAGTTTTGAAAGTACTTTAAGTAGTTAGAGTTTAAAAGATAGAATGAAAGCATCTTACTGTGTAGTTGAGGATGACACTTAGGAATACTAGAACCAAACTGCCTTGTCTGGGCTCAAATCCCAGTTCTGCCACTTAATATTTGTAGAGATTACTGAAGTCTTCATGATTTATTTTCTTCTGTAAATTTTGAATATTGTTACCTACCTCTTATCAAGTTTTTGCAATTTTTTTGATAATAATACATGTCACATGCTAAAATATGTGCTGGTATATATAAACTCTGAACAAAATTTAATTATTATTTTCAATCTTATTCCAGTATATAAAACTGCTCATGTCTAAGACAACAGTTTTGTTCATTTAGAATTTGGGAGTTTAACTCTGATTTGATATAACTTAAAAACTTAGAAATGCATTAAAATATGTCTTATTTTTCTTAATGCTAACAAATTGTAATTGAAACACCACCTCATAGTTCTGTAATATGAAGAATACATTTTAAAATGTGCTTTTGTGGTCATTCAAAGGATGATAGAGTTACATGGAGAAGAATCATGCTTAATGTCCATGTTGGACATGGAGAAGTAGCATTCAGTATCCACTGCAATATAACCTTTCTGTATTGTAGAGTTTACAAACCTAAGATTGTACACTTCTCAGATTCTCCTGCAGATGGTGCAAGGATGAGAATTAGTTTTTACCATTTAAATGTGCTGGCACATTTTACTATTTTTAAAATGAGAGTTAACACGTATCAAATACTTAAATGCTTGGCATTTTATACACATTATCTCATTAAATCTTTACAACAATTATACAGTGTAGATGTTTTTATTATTATCCTGATTTTGCAGATGAGGAAACTGAAGATTGGAAAAAGGGCTCAGAAATTTTTCTCATATCACATAAGTATTAACCATGTTCCGAGGAAGGATTCTAATCAGGATTTTCTCACCTAGTGTTTGTATGCTTAAATACTAGACTACAGGGTCAGCTAAAATATTTGGGAAAGAGTAGCAATTTTGAAGACATTAGTATGATTTACAAGGTGCATGTAATAATAATATACACTGAGATCCAAGCTTTTTGGAAGTTTGACTAAAATGTGCCTCAGAAAGGACTATTTGGGATTAAATCTATCTGAGAATCACTGAGCTTTTTGTATCTAGATATCTATATTTCCTCCAAGTCTTGGGAAGTTTTCAGTTATTATTTCATTAAATAGGCTTTCTATGCCTTTGTCCATCTCTTCTCTTTCTAAAGCTCCCCAAATTCCAAATATTTGTTCACTTGATGGTGTTCGTATGTCATGTAGGCTTTCATTGTTCTTTTTTATTTTTTTCTTCTTCTTCGTTTTTTTTTTTTTTTTTGTCTTACTGGATTATTTCAAAAGGTATGTCTTCAAGTTCAGAAATTATGTCTTCTGCTTCATCTTGATTATTGTTGAAGCTCTCAATTGTATTTTTTTAATTCATTCACCGAATTCTTCAAGTTCTAGGATTTGTTTGGTTCTTTTTTATGATATCTATCACTTTGTTGAATTTCTCATTCAAATCATGAAATTTTTTCCTGGTTTCTTTGTATTGTTTATCTGTATTCTCTTATATCTTGCTGAGTTTCCATAAGATTATTATTTTGGATTCCTTTTTGGGTATTTCACAGATTTCTTTTTCTTTGGCATCTGTTCCTTTGGAGTATTATGTTTTATTGATTTTTCATTTTTTTGTGTGTTATGTTAATATCTGCACATCTGGTAAACTGTCACTTCTCCCAGTTTTATGAGGTAGCTGCAGCTTTCCTGTGGACGTATCTATAGTATCAGTTGGGTTGGGTGCTTTGGATTTGGCTAGGCACTACAATGTAGTCTCCATATGATTACTCTGGGTGTAACCAATGTTAGTAGTTTCTATAAGTTCCTTAGTGGTTTAGGCTGAAGTTGTTTGTGGAGGCTGTGGTAAAGATTTTCTGGGCATGGGTGTTCCAGGTGGGCTGGTCCTCAGGCTCCTAGGTTGGGCATGTGGGCACCAGCAGTGGTGGTGGTAGGCCAATTTGCAGGTCTCCAGGTGACTGTGCAGGCATCAGTGGTGGCAGCATTGGACCCTGGGCAAGCTGGTCCTTGGGCCCCTAGTAGGCTATGCAGGTGCCAGAAAGCCAGATAGCCTGCTCCTTGGGTCTCCAAGTGTGACTTATGGGCCCTGGCAGTGGCAATAGCAGGTAGGTCCTCAGGTGCCTGAGTGGGGTGCCCATACACCCCATTTGCAATGTTGGCAGTGGGCTTGTAGGACCAGTCCCCCGGTCCCCAAGTGGCATGCATGGGTGCTTGTAGTGTCAGCAGTGGGCCAGGTGGCCTGGTCCCTAGACCCTGGGTGGGGTACATGAGTGCCAGCAGTATCCTTGGCATGGTGGACAGGCTGGTCCCTGGACCTCTGGGAGGGGCATGCAAGTATGCAGTAGCCCCACAACTAGAGGGTTGCTATTGGTGGCAGTAGCCCTGGGAAGGCTGCTCTCAGTCTCTGGGGAGAGTACATCTTGGTTCCCTAGTCCTGGGGGAAGCTTCTCCAATGTGCTTCCTGGGGTATAGGGCACTGCACAGGCTCAGATGTCAGCAAGGTAGCTGGCTGCATGACTGGGTCAAGCTGGCATCACAATGCTGCAGCATTCTAGGTGGATGTGTGGGTATGTCTGTGGGGCACCAGGAATGTGGAGATGCAGGAGCTATTAGTCCCCAGCCAGGATGTAGTTCACTTTTGGCTCTGCTCTCAAAATAGCACCAGCAGTGGGACCCAGCACAAATTCCCTCTCTGGAACAACGCAGTCATATGGATTCCAGGAAGCTCCCTACACTAAGCTAAGGGCCCATGAGGGCTGAGGGGATTCCCTACAGCTAAGATTGCAGGCATCTGTGGTGGGAATATAGACTGTTGGGGGTTATCTTGCTTACCTTTTCTCCACAATGAGAAGTCTCTTTTGGTTGTGAGCCAAGCTAGCCAGGTGCCCTGCTTCCCTCTCTATGCTGCCATCTTGAACTTCCATGCCTCAGAGGGTCCCTGTTGCTTTCCTGCTAGATTCCAGTATTCTTCCGTAGACACTCTATATGACATGTGGTTATCTACTTGCTGTTTTGGTCCTTCTTTGTGGAGGATGTCAGTGCTCGGTGTCTCTAGTCAACCATTGTGGTGACCTTTCTCAAGATCCAAGCCTTTCAGAACCACTCATCTTCCATATTGACACAGATCTCAGAAATCCGAGATGGAATAGCAGAAATATCCCATGATGAGTAAGCCATGGGGAAGCTGAAGTCAAGAGCTTTCTTTCCCCCTTCCTATCGAATCCAGTCTCACAAATAAGAGCACAGAGGACAACAGCTGGGATTAATGAATTAGCATGAATTAGAAAATGGCAACTACAGTTGACATAGTGGTTCACACCTGTAATCCTAGCACCTTGGGAGGTCGAGGCAGGAGAATTACTTGAGGCCAGGAGTTAAAGACCAGCATGAGCAAGATAGCAAGACCCATCTCTACAAAAAATAGAAAAATTAGCTGGCCATGGTGGTACATGCCTGTAGTCCCAGTTACTTAGGAGACTTGGGCAGGAGGACAGCTTGAGCCCAGGAAATTAAGGTTGCAGTGAGCTATGATGATGCCACTGTGCTCTAGCCAGGGCAACAGAGTGCAACACTGTCTCAAAAAAAAAAAAAAAAAAAGGCAACTACTTAGGGGGTACAAATTGTAACAATATGCCCCCTGGGTACATCAGTTAGGAAAAGCTATGATTTCCATATACTTATACCTCATCCTAAAGGTCACTGCTTGCCCAGAGGAATGTGGGATAGATTACAGCCCTCTTCACATCCTCTCAGCTAGGTTCAACAGTGTGTGGCAGAGCCATGAGAACAGTGAAATATATTCACTTAGCCAGAACTCTTTGGACTTGCTAAACCAAAGCCACTTCTGCTGGCTGTTATCTTTTGGTGGCTGTTCATGTGAATATTATTTCATATTAGCTCATAACAGAATAGTATTAATTAATAGATTACTTAACATGTTTTTCTTTTTTCCCCATACCTGCTGTGGTGGCCAAATTTTCCCCAGCTTCTCATATTTGACTCATGACATCTGACTGAAATTACCATACCTGGGTACACCAGACTTTGGGGTCATATCTTTCTGTTTTCAATATGGCTGATCAACTTAAAGAATTTATTTTTGCAGCTGGATTTTTTAAATATATGGAAGTAAATTTGTTTTATTAAATTTTTTTCTTTACCATGCTAAATATTCAAGATAGATATGAATTGGTATGCATCATTTAGAAAGAAATTTGATCATAGCTCAGGCACAGACATTCTGGAACTTTATGA